AAACGCGGCGAGTAGCTTACTGTATTACTATACAAGGGAAAGAAAAAACGGTCCGATGCGGTTGGCGAGCATGAGCCAGACAAGGAAAGGGGAACAGATAACATACGAGAACGGAATATAGAGTATCACTTAAAATCGTACATCTTCTTATTTTCGCTCGAAAATTCGAGTTAAATCAATCAGACATTCTTCTGACATTCTTCTAACACCCTTCTAACATACATTATAATATTCCAAGTGAATTTTTATACAGAAACAAAAGTATTACATACAGAATATTGTAATATGTGTTAGAAAGCTTATTGATTTAAATTTAGTTCTCGATCGAACTAATTGAAATACGAGGTGTAGATTTGAACCGACTGCACGCAAAAATAACAGATGCGGGCGCCCACGGTGGAGGAATAATGAAACTGCTCGAACGTTTTGAAGCGCAATAGCATTGATGTACTCTATCCATATCGAGCCGACGGGCTACGCCACGTGCTGGCGCGTGTTCAAACAAAGAAAAGAGACAAGGTCTTTATTATGATGCACCTAAAGAAAAAGGCTTCTTCTTTATAAGGAACAGAGGAAACGCGGCCCAGTCTCTCTTCTTGTCGAGTGTTCGCACCTCCCAACCCGGTTTCCTTTACCTCTTCGTTCACGTAGGAGAAAAACACTTGATCATAACGAGGTATTCCCATTCGCACAGATCTTTACAACTAAAAACCAAGGAACTTGACATTTTTCATACTCGGCAGAGAATCAGATCAAATAGTTCGAAAAATCTAAATATATAACATTAAAGAGGGAAGATGTGCTTCCTAATTGGAAACATCTAACGGATGAATCCTTCGGGTTCACTAGCTAGCTTGTCTTTAAAATAGTAAATTCTAACCTTTATGTTACCTTATGCATATGCAGGAAGTTTCGAAACGAGTGTTGCATGAAATCATTCTTGAACGACGAAAGATACGGAGGAAGGCACAGAAACTCTTCTTTGTCAACTTTTACGTCGAATGGCACTAGCAAAAGTTCTCTTTCTTCAAGATCACTTCGAAATATACGAGGAAAAATTGAAACGCTCGGTTCGTAGGCATAATTGCATCCAATTTTCTTTCCTTGTAAACTCGGGTTGTTCCAAGATCGCTCTACGTGGATTTCGAACCTTAATAACATAAAAATAAAAATAAAAATATTTTGCTTAAACAACTAATTCGGATCCTTAATACTAAATTCTTTGTTTCATAATATTAGTAGCCTAATTTAGGGAGTAGTATTTGTCCTACCCAAACAAGTATGAAAAGAATAAGAGTATCGATACTAGAGAATTCGGTTCAAGGCCCCGAGAATAAAATGTATTATTCATTATCATGAATGAAGGATACATCATAACTGTAATCATCTCTCGTTACGATCGTGCATTGCAAGACACATGGTTGACATATGTGCAAACAAAGAGAAGACGAGACCTTTGTTTTGATACGCTAAAGAAGGAGTTCTTTCTTTAGAAGGATGGAAGAGGAACGGGCAACCTTTTCTTTATTTGGATTTAGACATCAGCCTTTTTTTGTCACTTTAACTCGTTTCCTCTTTTTCTTTCTCTTCTCGTTCCCTCTTCTGTAACCTCGTCTCGTTCTTTTCTTTCCAGCTTGAATCAATCGAAACAATGATTCGCCACGACCTTGCGATAATGGAACTACTTCACTTTCCAGGATTATGACAATGCGGAATTGACACTTCGTGTGACACAACCATTGACCATGTTTCCTGTGTATTTCTGACGCACCAGTCACTCTGGAGGCAATAAAAATATCGTAAAGAATGCAACTGTAATTGAGGGCATACCAGTTTAACCCGATTCTTCGAAATAACTTTTTATTCTACCCTAAATAGTTTGAATCGGATCGCAATTTTACTCGAGCGGTGTTCTCCAAAATAAAAAGAGTGAATCGAACTTCGTAACAAGAGATGTCGACAAAAGTTAATTCGAAACTTGGTCTAACACGACAGAAAGTAAATTGAAACAACGATCCAATCTACATATATCGTATCTTTCATGTGTCAGGGCACCAATCGGTCTGGCAGATTAAAAGCACGCACATTTATAGACGCAACTTCCAATCGAGATTCTCAATTTATCGCGCATATATTGTACAAAAATCTATTTAAATGCGTTACGAATTTACGGTTTAGAAAGTATAATGACCACACTGATAATAATAACAAGAATGAAAGTGCAAAGTGCATCTTCGCACAGTAAGTAGCGGATCTATTCAAACGAGTTAACCTATTATACTTTCAAATGAACCCTACAAGCAAGCAGGGTACAGCAATAAATTTTCACGAGATAAAAGTGCGAGAGATTTTCTTCGATTCGATACAACAATTTCCCACGCCTCGAACATTCGCGATAGCAACGACCGCACACAATGAAACGTGTCGAAATCGTGGCGCGGTTCGTCGGCCGCCGGGTATACTGGCGAATCCACAGAGAAGCTGCAGAATGAAGTTTCCCAACGAATTGTAGGGGGAACAAAGAGATGGAACATTCGAGTCAATACACGGCCCAAGGTCATTGCTACCTCCGTCGCCGACGCATCCTCGGAATTTCCGATTTTCTTGTCCATCGTTTTTTTCCGGTCCGTGCAGACGGCGCACGCCTATCTCTCCACTGAATAAAGGAACGACACGAAGAATCCCAGTGAAAGCCTGTCGTCACAATAGACGCTTTGTTTTTCCATCTGCCGTTGGTGTATGACGCGTGTTGTGTACCTGATCCAGACGAAGCGTGCAACAGAAGCACGTGGAACAGATGTCGCGTCGAACAATTTTAAACTGTGTACTTTATATGCTGAAGAAAAAAGTTACGTTCTGTAGCGGGAAATTTCTGTCAAGTTAAAAAGACGTCGCAGTAGGAAAAAGTATGCGGTACTTCTCTTCGTAGTGCAACGAAAGTACTTCTTCCTAGAACATTTGAGTAATTAGAAAAATTCATCATATTCATCATTTGAAAATCTAACCGATATTAAGAAGAAAGGAGAATACTCTCATAAATCATTCAGCTCTTTCGGTTCTCATCAAAGATAAACGTAAATTTCTCACGGCCCTGAACCAGTCCAGCTAAGTGGAAAAATATGAGTGTGTTATTTGGAAGAAAGATAAGATAATCGAATGTGGTCTCCTCTGATACGAAGACGTACAAAAATATTGACATGTGAAATTCGCCGCTTCCGTAGACAGTAGATAACAGTTTTTACATTTTGAATGTTTATCGAGCGAGAAATCGAAAACATTCAGTGTTTTTTTGGAAGCTGAACAACACGATTGCGTAATAAAAATTTGTACGTTACGCCTTACCCATTCTTTCATTTCCATTCTAATTTTAAATTCATAAGTCGTTCCGATGTAAATATTATTTGTATTCATTTGAATTTTGCATGCTTAAAATGCGGTTTAAATAAAAAATGCGTATGAATGCGTATTATAGTAATTGCTTCGTAAATCAGCCTTTCCTCAAATTATGTGAATGTTATAAACCTGCTTGTATAGAAGGAATTCATGGACAAGAAAAAACAAGTTACCGTACAATAAATATCGTTGCAAGACGAACGCAATATAGATCCAAATAAGTGATTAGATAGTGTACCGATTAAAATTACTTTTCCACAAAGGTTAGCGGTTAGCAGTAAACTCGATCGATATGGATATTCTCTATCTTATCGATTTTTTTTCCAATCGTTCTCAACAACTCTTTCTTTCGATTGACCTCAGTATCAATGTCACGCAACGAACGCTCTCGTTAACTTCGAATGACGATCAACTGAAGTTACGTTATTAATTGCTCAATCGAGTTTGCCAAAGAGTCGACTTCCGCGATTCGATATAAATAACGCGAATAGAATCAATCGTCGATGTAACGATATTCGATAGAGTTTCCCATCTGCATTACTGCGCAATCTTTTCCAGTAGAAATTTAGTTAGCCATCGTTCGCTTTCTATCGATAATTTCACGATTGCGCGGGAAACCATTTTTTAAATTAATCGGTAATTCTATTGGCAACGTTAAAACTTCGGCATAAAACAACAAGTCTGTTTAAGATAATGTCTGAAATCGCTGTATGGCCGTGGACAGGAAGATTGTTTAAATTGGTCATATAAATGAGTGACCATATAACGCGTTGACAATTTAACGCATGGCCACATAAGGTACGTCAATGGATGATGAGATTATTTATAATAGAAAGTATTATCTGAAAAATAATATTGCACAAATTACCCAATTGAAACTGTCAACCGGCTTAATCGTTTTGGCACTGTGTTTTGTCAATCGTCAATTTATATTGTCCACTATATTCGAAATGATACCAAATGGACTACCCTGTCAGAATCGTAAATTGAGGCGATCGTAAAGATTCATGAAGCGTCGTTAAATAACACTTATGTTAATGATCGCGCATACACATATGTAACGACGGGATATAGCTTCGATCGTAGAAATGTGACCATTGGTGTTAATAAAAGCATTCGGACAACATGGCTGTCGGCCAACAGTACAAAAATTCTCATCGAGTCTAATTTCATCTCGACGATGGCGTTCAAGAATTTTCCGCTTTGAACGGGTATCATTGTTCTTTTTCATTGAATAAGGAGTTACAATCGTTTTCGACTGAACTTCATTCAATACGGTCTACGACATCAGCCACCATGTGGTAACCTAATACAACCACGTGACGCGCGATTATTCAAAACGCTGCGTACAGCGAAATCTCTGAACTACTAGATTAACCTGAAACTTAACAAACTTCGTGGAGTCGTATAACACCTGTTTCGAGAAATGAAAACAAACTCCGGTAACTGCCACTCCACCTTCTTCGATGAATCTGATTCTTTTATTCGGAAATTCTGATAGAGTATAAGGTCATGTGCATCGAATTTCTTCACGTAAGATTACAACATACGGTAAAGATTGACGATGATAGATTTTCCCTTAACCTTCCACTCGTTACTACGGATAAGGTTAGTACGACACTGAAGTTGCTATAAGTAACCCAAAAGAGTGCTATCACCAACGAGGTGGGTCGATACAGTTTATTGTGATTTAGTGTTTGTAAATGTAGGTAAGTGTAGTTAGATAAACCGGTTCAGAGATAAACATCGAACAAGTTCAAAGATCATTAGATCGATTAATCGAATAAACAAGTTGTATATTTAAATAGAAATGTTCGTAATATAACAAAACATATAAATAGCATGCGCAGAACGTTCTGCGCATATATAAGTTTTTAATTTCATAGATCGAAAATGATCGAAAGTTTAAACTCGATATAACATGAAACATCACGATTTTTCGTGACAACACTGGATTGCATCGATAATGTACTCTCATAACGTAAAATAATCGAAAATCTAGATGCAAGTGATAATCCGCATGCGAAAAGCTATTTTACGAACAAGTTATGCATTCTTTACTGCGAATTATTTTCCAATGTCATTTTACGTAGTACCTCCTACAATTTGTGTTACAAAATTGCGAGATATCACGTATAGAGATATCGATAAGTTGGTTTAAAATGTATTTATGTATAATTTTACCGAACAGGCAATATCGTTTCGTAAACCGAACTATTACGTACATATCTTAGGTTATACGCGCACGATATCGATCATACGTAAGTCGTCGAGCTCCCCATATTGATTATAGTTAACAAGTTTTATTTATATAACAAATTTCTCGTATCCCTTTCAGTGCTCGATTGCATAATTCTGTTGACGATTTGACATATGTGTGGCGATGCGATCGTAATACTTCGCGATAAGCGAAACAACCGTAACCTCAACAAAGGAGTGAAAAGGACGATGGAAGTGAATTATCGCGACAATCGATAGCTGCGCGAGCGACAATCGATATGTAGCTCTTTTCAACGGCTAAGTTCGTACGGAAAGGGTTAAATAGATGTGATTGCGAATAGTATTCGCGAGAAGGCGATCACGTGTTTGACCCACGATCGACGGAACACGCATCGCGGGTCATGCAATACAGACACGACTCTGCGCGCGTCATCGCGTGTATTGACAAAATGTTTTCTATTGCATATCACATGCAAGGCGGTACGCGGTGATACGGCCTTAACGCGTTGCATGCAGTAACATAGATCAACATCTTTT